GTTTTTTGACGTGTTCTTTTGACAAACTGGTGAGACTCTTTTGGACAGATTTTAAATCCATGGGGTGTTCTCTGAACAACTTAACTCTTTTCTTGAGAGTTTTTGTTTCAAAGACAAGCGGCATTAATAAATTAACCTTAATAATTAGTTCTTTCCAATCTCTCTGAATTTGACATTTCAGTCCTGCAATTTTAATAGCGTTTGCTTCGAACTGAGCTGTTTGATTCGATTTGTACCTCTCCCAGAAGGAGACACACTGTTTAACCGTATGCAGTGGGCAATATAGTAATTCAGAAATCTGAAATGAGTGGGGTATTTTTCTATCCATCAGCTTTAGAGCTAGATTAATTATTTCTATTTTCACGGGATCCTGAATGGTCCTTTGAAAGTCTTTTGGCAAGTAACTTCTCCAGCTTTGTGCTCTATTAGTTCGTCTGATGAAAGCAGAAATTGCAGTTTGTATAGTTTGTGTTCGCAAATCAGCTCCGACGAGGAAGGAATCTCTGTTCATTTCCTTTATCGTGTCTTCAAAGTGTCCTGTAGTTTCTCCGAATCCTTTAATGCGGGTCACACGCAAGGCTCTCAGAAAGCGCAGAGTTGTAGAGATGTAAAGGGAGGACACGTTGGTAAATTTATTTTTAAGAGCCACAACTGGAACCAGACAATAATATTTACCACGTGCTTTTCTGAGTTTACGACAGTAAATCGTGCGTGGACCGCATTTTTCAGATGTAAAATTTGTCAAACTGCAGGAAATCTTTTCTTCTGTAACAATGTCTGTATTTTCACAGTCTTTTTTAAATGCTTCGTCGTCTGGGACGCAGCACATTGGCTGATAGTCAAGTTCATCAGGCCGAGCTTGGCTTGTTGTCACAAGTAGCTCGGAAATTTCAATTTCTTTAAATGATGGGCAGAGTGCATCGCTGTGTGTGGGCATTTCCAATGTTAAATCCCAAAAACCAAATGATTTTCCGACAATTCTTTTCAATAACTGTAATCCGGAAACGTCTGGTATAAACAGGGCATCTTGAATGAAAAATGCTGGGTCTTCCTTTTGGATTGGTTCCTGTAAATGAACAACATAACTTCCCATCATAGACCGTGTTTCATCACAGAACACAAAGTTTTGTGGCCCATGAAATTTAGTCACCACGAAAAGGACTTTTTGGTTTTGGCTGGTTTTCAGGGCACCCTGTTGAATATAAAGTCTAGTATAATTCGATCTTCCCAGCAAAAGTTCTTGTACGCCACAGTTGTCTCCTTGCATTTCGCCATCGTTGCAAAAGGAGGAATTTTCCATGTTGATTTCCAATATGTCTAACAGTACTTTCACTACTTGTAGAGATGGTTTATAGTCTTTCAATTCACTTTCATAGTCCTGTAACACCAGATCTCTTGCCATTTTTCTTAAAGTGTCTGGTTTGTATGAAAGCTGTCTTTTTGAAAGCTCCTGTTGTTTGGATCGTAACATTTTCCTCACGATGTCCAAAAGGCCTTTTTCTCTTCCACAAGTGAAAGTTGTAGCTACGGTTGGGTCTTTTTCTTTTAGATACCATGGTGGGTTTCTCTGGATTATAAATTTTCTCATACTGCTTTCTGCTTTGTTTGCCATGGTGTTACAAGTTCTTCAGACCATCATGGCATGGAATTGTGTAAAGTAAGACAACGAGGGAAATGGTTTTAACTTATTTTCTGCTGGGAGGAGTCATGTATATCTGTAATTGGGCGGGTTAGAGAGAGAGAGAGAGAGAGAGACACAGACAGAGAGACAGACAGAGATTAATTCCCCTTAATTTATAAATTGTCTCCTTTTCCCTAACAAGTTCCTGAATATTTTTTGGAACTGATATGAACTCCGACAGCTTCTCGGTCTGTGTGTGTTAAATATGACTGTCTGTGAACGAGGTGGGCGTGTCCTCCGCGTCAGCCTGTGATAGCACGAGCCGTTACCCTGGTTTGTAGTTTTTCGTGAGTTTGTAGTTTCACTTTGAGCTTCGGGTCCCGGACGGAAAAAACAAAACACAAAACACCTTCTGGAGAAACGAAACCGAAGAAGCGTCGGCAGCAGCAGCGCGGAGCCGGGGCCCGACGCGCGGACACACTTTGACACGAGCGCGGGGGAGAAAAGTTTGTGCGGGTTTCGCCCCTTTACCTGAGCACTGAGGCCCCGCCCCTTTACCTGAGCACTGAGGCCCCGCCCCTTTACCTGAGCACTGAGGCCCCGCCCCTTTACCTGAGTATTTTCTGAGTAACTTTCCTTGAATCAACAAAAAACAATGAAGTCGTGCAAATGTGTTGGTGACGTTTCAGCCACTGCTTTCACAAACGCTCTGATGTCGGGCGGTTGTCCTGTCTCCTCCCTCTCACCAGGAGGCTGTGGGTTAGACTCCTGATCTCTCTGATCTAAGCCCCTCCCCTTCTGTCCCAGGTGAGATCGACTAGTTTTGTTAATTATAAAAAACAACATTAAACGTTCAACATGTGAAAGCTTCCACAAGAGCAGACCACCTCTCTGTTGCCATGGTTTCCATCGAATATTAATACAGATGGAAAAGTACATCGTAATCACCGGGAAAATGATTTAGCTCCTCCCCTCTGGGACGATGACATCATCACATTCTAGAATCTCAAATAGTTTTGGAGCCTGAGAAGCTGTCGCCGTAGCAACGTGATGTTCTAATGCCGCCCTGGATCTCCATGGTGATAGAACTCTGCTTGATGACATCATCAGAGAAGCACGACGCTGCTTTAAAGTAAACTTTGAGTGACACAGTGAAATAAACAAAGTGAAAGTGACAGAATACTTTTATTAATACTTTAACTACTGCTACTTCAAAGCAGCGCTCTGCTTTATGACATCATCAGTAAAGGACAAGCACAAAGCACAAAGCAACTTACTGTTTTGAAGAAGATTATAAGTGTAACACGAAACAAACACTACAGACATAGAATACTGCCACTTCTACTGCGTGTACTACGACTACTGCGTGTACTACAACTACTGCGTGTACTACGACTACTGCGTGTACTACAACTACTGCGTGTACTGCTACTAGAGCTACTACTGCACGTTTACACTAGAGCTTTTCTCTCTCTTTACTGCATATTTAAACAGAAAAAATGCCCTGGGGTTTTGTTAGAAACTCTCGACCTAAGGTCAAGCGCCAAATCTTAGAGGCTGAGAACCAGGAACTGCACGAGAGGATCCAGAACTTAGAACATAAGAACCAGCAACAAAACGAGACGATCCACAACTCATTAAATCATTACAACAAACTGTACGAGAGGATCCGAAACTTAGAAAATCAGAACCAGGAACAAAACGAGACGATCCAAAACTTAGAAAATCAGAACCAGGAACAAAACGAGACGATCCACAACTCATTAAATCATTACAACAAACTGTACGAGACGATCCAAAACTTAGAAAATCAGAACCAGGAACAAAACGAGACGATCCAAAACTTAGAAAATCAGAACCAGCAACAAAACGAGACGATCCACAACTCATTAAATCATTACAACAAACTGTACGAGACGATCCAAAACTTAGAAAATCAGAACCAGGAACAAAACGAGACGATCCAAAACTTAGAAAATCAGAACCAGCAACAAAACGAGACGATCCAAACTCATTAAATCAGAACAACAAACGAGAGGATCCAAAACTTAGAAAATCAGAACCAGGAACAAAACGAGACGATCCAAAACTTAGAAACTCAGAACCAGAACAAAACGAGACGATCCAAAAAAATCATTACAAAACTGACGAACGATCCAAAACTTAGAAAATCAGAACCAGGAACAAAACGAGACGATCCAAAACTTAGAAAATCAGAACCAGGAACAAAACGAGACGATCCAAACTTAAATCATTACAAAACGAACGAGACGATCCAAAACTTAGAAAATCAGAACCAGGAACAAAACGAGACGATCCAAAACTTAGAAACTCAGAACCAGAACAAAACGAGACGATCCAAACTCAAAATCATTACAACAAACTGAAACGATCCAAAACTTAGAAAATCAGAACAGGAACAAAACGAGACGATCCAAAACTTAGAAAATCAGAACCAGAACAAAACGAGACGATCCACAACTCATTAAATCATTACAACAAACTGACGAGACGATCCAAAACTTAGAAAATCAGAACCAGAACAAAACGAGACGATCCAAAACTTAGAAAATCAGAACCAGGAACAAAACGAGAGGATCCAAAACTTAGAAAATCAGAACCAGCAACAAAACGAGACGATCCAAAACTTAGAAAATCAGAACCAGGAACAAAACGAGACGATCCAAAACTTAGAAAATCAGAACCAGGAACAAAACGAGAGGATCCAAAACTTAGAAAATCAGAACCAGGAACAAAACGAGACGATCCAAAACTTAGAAACTCAGAACCAGGAACAAAACGAGAGGAACCAAAACTTAGAAAATCAGAACCAGGAACAAAACGAGACGATCCAAAACTTAGAAACTCAGAACCAGCAACAAAACGAGACGATCCAAAACTTAGAAAATCAGAACCAGGAACAAGATGAGACGATCCGAAACTTAGAAACTCAGAACCAGGAACAAAACGAGACGATCCAAAACTTAGAAAATCAGAACCAGGAACAAAACGAGACGATCCAAAACTTAGAAAATCAGAACCAGGAACAAAACGAGAGGATCCAAAACTTAGAAAATCAGAACCAGGAACAAAACGAGACGATCCAAAACTTAGAAACTCAGAACCAGGAACAAAACGAGACGATCCAAAACTTAGAAACTCAGAACGATCCGAAACTTAGAAACTCAGAACCAGGAACAAGATGAGACGATCCGAAACTTAGAAAATCAGAACCAGGAACAAGATGAGACGATCCGAAACTTAGAAACTCAGAACCAGCAACAAAACGAGACGATCCAAAACTTAGAAAATCAGAACAAAGATCTGTGCGAAAGGATCGAAAAGTCCTCGGTTAAGAACCAGAAGCTACAGGAGGTGA